CGGCATCCTATTGGCTTCTATGGATAGATTATGTCGAAAAGATGTTAATGAAAGAATGAAAGATAAAGAACAAATTTTGACAAGACAGAGAAAGTACTGAAAGTGGAACCACAAATGCTGGGCCAAGAGAATGATTTAGAAAAGGACATTAGACTGAATATACAAAAGAAACTGGCTGAGGTTTAAAAACTAAAAGGGAAATGACAATGATAAACCAAGAAAATGACCTGGAAAAAGTTTTCTTATTGAATCTAAAAAAGAAGGTTGTTCAAGCCCCGAAGAAATCTCTGCAATGGGATGAAGAAGAATTGAAGAAAAATCAAATCCTATGACAAAATTCTACTGTTAAATAAAAGGAGTATAAAATTGGTTTATTTGATCAAGATTTAAATAAGACTTTTGCGGGGGGAAGTTCTGGCAACCATTTATGGACTTTTTGCTGACACCAGAATTAAAAGGTTGATGTTTTATAAATATGCCTATAGATAAGATACGGGATGAAAAGATATGTGTTTGTAACCTTATATGGGTTGAAGAGTTACTAAATTTGTTTATACTTGTGATGAAGGTTAGAAGTCAATTCTTTATATATTTTTCTTTAATTTTTTTTCTTCTTTTTTCTTTACATTTTTATTCTTTTTTTCTGTTCTCATCTCTTGTTCTAAATTTACATTTGTATTAGTTTTTAATATTATAATAAAAATTCTTAATAAAATATATATATTTTAAAATGTTGTAAACATATCCTCCAAAAAAGCAGATGGAATGGGTAATTCTGGGATATAATATAAAGAAGTAATGGACAGAGGCAACATAGGGAGGGTGGAGCCTGGCTGAAATCATTCTGAAAATCACTAACACAGCATATTAACTGTCAAATTTAATTTGGATGCAGGTATTATCATGCAACATTTAGTAAGTGCCAGCACATGTCAATAAGATTTCTAAATTCTGTTCTAAAAATAGTCAAAAACTATTTTAAATTGGTGAATGCCATGCACAGAACTGATACTTGTCAATAAGAGACTGTAAAATCAAGTACTATTTCATGCCGGATCTCCCCATCCTAAATCAAGATTGTTGTTTGGCAACTATGCTTCCCTGTACATTCTGGTACAGCACAAAATAAGTGCCTAATATAGAGCTTACTAATAATATTTAAAAACCTGACTGGACAATAGTTAGAAGGGTGAGACCTGTTTCCTTTTATGAATAAGGAGATAATAACCAAGGCATTACATTCAGGATGCAGCGGGTTACAGAGAGATGCTTTAACATGGGATTCCTGCACTAAGGAGGTTGGATTCAGTTTCCTAAATTTCTCCTGCCAACTCCATAGTGCTACTTTCTGAGAGTCCCGTTTTTTAGCCATATATTAAAAGCAACTGCTCATCTCCTTTTAAAGCAGAAGCCTTTTGTTTTGTAGATCATAAGCCTCTTTATGACATTTACTAAAACAAAAACATGTACACTGGTGTTATCACTGGCAGTTAATTCCATTAGAAAACCAGTCTCAAACCTTCCAATCCTTTTTAAGAGCTTATACTAAAATGTTCATGCAGCTAAATACATTGATAATTTACAAGCCAAAACAGAAGTTTAAAGGGTAGATTTGCCCTGGGGATAGGATAGTGATCACAGATCTAGAGTGCAAAATTACAATTTAGTTTTAAGTTCAGGATTCTGTTTCTCAATCAAACAAATCTTCATTGTAAAAGCATTTTTTTTAACTCTTACAGATGGAAAAATGTTTTAAAGCAACTTTCCAGCACAAATAACAGGGGAGAGTTGACTTTGCCTTATTTACACAATATTTTCCCCTTGGGTGCAGAATGTGCATTTCTTAACAATCAGCTTTTGGCTATCCTTGAAAAAGCAAATTGAAACTACCTTTTTGCTCTACAGCAGGAGTGTCAAACTGCCGGCCCATAGGCCGGATGCGTCATGCAAAACTGTGCCCACCCCATTGCCGGCAATGGGAAAAAAATCACGATACGTCGCGACATATCATGTGACATTGCGAGTTTGACATCCCTGCTCTACAGCATTGAATTGCTAGATGATCTCATTGAGGAGTTGGGGATTATGAAATGCCCAAAAGGACTGTTGCACATACAAACAGACACAGCATGCTACTCTTCAATTAGCAGGCGTCACCGAAAAGGTGAGAGCTTCCTTCCTTCAATGCTAACAGTGAATAACATGCTCAATTTGTATCCATGATGAGCTGGTAATGTTCACCAAATGTTTGTCTTTAGCAAAGATGTTTTTTTAAATAGGAAACCACAGAATAGGGATTAATGTTATTCTATCCTTCAGATCTAGTCAGGTAATTCTGTTGGTTGAAGTAGACTTCAACTTTGCTCCTAATCCAGTACCTTTTCTAGTTCATGACACCAAGTTTCTGTGCCAAGAGTTGCAATGGTCACACTTGCTCAAGTAGTAAAAATCATCCTTCAACGTAACCTAGGAAAAAAGTTCCCCAGGTAGCTAAATAGGCTGCAATCTCCTAGCAAACACTACTCAGTACAGGGCAGCTTGTTGCATGTAAGAGTGCAGAAGCGAACACCTCAGCTCTTAGAACATGGCCCAACTATTTCTTAGATGGGGATGCATCCCCTCAAAATATTAGTTGCTAATACCAGGCCATCTGGTATTTAATACTGGGCCTATGAAGAGAAACTTCAAGGACCCAGCAGCGGCAACTCCATCAATACTGTAAATGATTCCTTAGGAAACATCTCTGAGGTGATTAGCCACAATCATCAACATCAAGGATCTAATAATCAGCATTTAAAACCAAGATATTCACGTGTTTGTTAAGTATCTTCCTTGAACAAAAAAATAATAATACTTAGAACATAAAATATAGAATAATAGGATTGAAAGAGACCTTGGAGGACTTCTAGTCCAACCCCCTACTCAAGCAGGGAGACTATACCATTCTGGAAAAATGACTGTCCAGTCTCTACTTACAAGCAATGATGGAGCACCCACAACTTCCGAAGGTAAGTCAACTGCACTGGTGAAATGTTCTGTCAGAAAAATTCTTAGTTCTATGTTAGATCTCTCTTTAATGATATTCCATTTGTTACTTCTTGTCCTGCCCTCAGGTGCTTTGGAAAATAGTCGACTCCCTCTTCTCTGGGACAACCCCTCAAATATTAGAAAACTACTATCATGTCAACTAGACTAAACATACCCACTTCGTGCAACCATAGCTTCCAGACCCCTTATCATCTTTGTTGCTGTTCTCTGAACTCTTTCTAGGATCTCAACATCTTTTTGTATCATGGTGATCAGAACTGGATGCAGTATTCCAAGTGTGGTCTCACAGTGCAGTGTAAAGCAGTACTATCACTTCATGTGATGTTGAAATTATCCCTGTTGTGTAAATTTATTATTTATTAAATAAAATATATTTGCAAATATATATCCACAAGATGTAAGACAGACATTACTTTGGCTTATAACAGTGGTTCTCAACCTTCCTAATGCCGTGACCCCCAACCATGTGGTCATAAGTCGAGGACTACCTGTATTTCCCTGCGGGCGGGGCAGGAGGAGGCGCGCACGCTCTGCCTCCTCTCCTGTGGCTGGAGCGCACGCTGGGCAAGCCGAGGGTGCACGCAGGCCATCGCCCAGCAACTGCCTCGGCCCGGGAGCACCGCGCATGCATGGTGCCACCCCCTGCGCCGGCCGAGGCGTAGCTGGCAAGCGGCAATGGCGCAGGCCGACCACCGGCTGGGCCACCAGCTGGCCCAGCCCAAGGGAGATAAGGCACCCTCCGGGCCCCACGCACGCCAGCAACCCTCCCTGCGCCCACCGGCCTCCCACCTCCCACCCCTGGCCCTCTTTTACTTACATTTAGTAGTTGCTCAGCAGAGAAGGGTGGAAATGTCCAGAAAGCTCACCTTAGCTGCAGACAACCGTTTGCAGACTGGGACTTTGGGCGGGTTCAGTAGGGCAGAGACAGCCTGGACAATTCCTATTGGCTTTTGAAAGCCAATAGAATTAAACTCTATTCAAGAGAGTCTATTCTATTGACTTTCGAAAGCCAATAGATTCTATTGGCTTTCAAACGCCAATAGAATAGAGTCTCTTGAATAGAGTCTATTCTATTGGCTTTCAAAAGCCAATAGAACAGTGGTTCTCAACCTTTTTAATGCCGCGACCCCCAACTGGTCGTAAGTCGAGGACTACTCAACTGGTCGTAAGTCGAGGACTACTCAATTAGTGCAGCATCGTTTGCAGAATGGGACTTTTGGCGGGCTCAGCAGGGCAGAGACAGCCTGGACAATTCCTATTGGCTTTTGAAAGCCAATAGAATTAGACTCTATTCAAGAGAGTCTATTCTATTGGCTTTCAAAAGCCAATAGAATAAAAGGGAGTAGCACAGCTAAGGAAAAGATGAAAAAAAATGGTGGACTGCGTTGTTTGGCGACCCTCGTGAAATGGTCGTTCGACCCCAAATGGGGTCCCGACCCGCAGGTTGAGAACCGCTGCAATAGAATAAGAGGGAGTAGCACAGCTAAGGAAAAGGGGAAAAAAATGGCAGACTGCATTGTTTGGCGACCCCTGTGAAATGGTTGTTCAATCCCAAATGGGGTCGCGACCCACAGGTTGAGAACCGCTGGCTTATAATGACAAATAAATCTGTAAAAAGTCATGTGAGGTATCGGCTAACTCATATTATTCTCTTCAAGATACCATAACTGCAAAGTTGCCAAAACATCAGATAAACTCAAAGCCCTGAAGCACTATTGCTCACAACATCCTTCCAGGAACAATATAAGCAAAACTTAAGAGTTGTAGCCTAATCTTCTGTCCTTGGTGAAATATCCTAAGAAGATAATTTACAACAAATATTTTAATATTTACTTTGAAATGCCTTGTAACTCTTACTCCTTATAATCTCTTTTTGTTGTTTGAAAAGAGTTGTCTCTTTTTAAACCTTCAGATCTATCGCAGAACCCTGCTTCTGCCAGATCCCTCCACAATCATGAACTTTGATATACTTTCAAAAGCCTACCATCAATTAAAGCTTGAGTGGCTTCATCATAAGGAGGCATCTTCTCCATTTCTTCCTCTGCTGCCTTGTCATCTGATGATGGCTTGGGTGATGAGACCTACAGAGACATTAAGCCAAAAGAATGCTATTAGTTCTTTGAAATCCATTAATAACCTTGTAGAATAACAAGAAGAAAAGCAAGATAAACTGACTAAAGAAGGTTGATTTTATAGATATCCTGTGACCAGAACTTTCAAAGAAAGTGCATTACCAAATCAGGAAAAGGAAAATAAACCCATGCTAAAGCTAAGAGTAGTGGATCTTTTTTTTTTTGGTCCTACTTCGTTGCAGGGTCCACTTATTTTGCATTCTGCTTGCTTAGTTTACATAGCAATGCCATCACTGCATGGTGCAGCTAGGGACCTGTTGTTCAGCCAGCTTGCTGCCGATCCTGATGCTGTTTCAGGGCTGAGAGTGTATGGCTGGGCCAAGGTCACCCAACTGGTGTCAATGTCTAAAGGAGAACCTGGATCTCCATTCTCCCACTCCAGGACTTTTCCCATGTCACCATACTGGTTCTTGTTTATGAATAACTTCATACTAATCACTAAACAAAAGAGTCACTTCAAATATTGCCAACTTCAAATGAGTGAACATATTTCAATAGACATTGTAAAAAGTGTTTAAATATTGCTACATAAGAAAAGCATATTCTTATGCTGGGGATGGGCAATCCTCAGAGCTCTTCAGATCAAGACTGCTGAAAAATAATGTTAGCAGAGATTTCCACCATTTTGAAAAAGGAAAAATGTGAATGCTGCTGTGTATACCCTAAAAAGATGTTACAGTTAAAAAGAAATAAAATCCCTCAAAGTCCTTCCCCAATCAACTCATTCTCATGCTTAATGTGACTCTATTCCTCTGTAGTGCTCAGCCCCCACCCCAACTGCAGGGTGTGCTTGGCCACCAAGGTTTACCTTGATTTACACAAATGGCATCTTTTAAATCTCTCCTAAATTGTTTAGCACACAGCAGACAGCGTTGGTAGTCTAAACAGTTTGCAAGACAGATAATGACTATTGCATGCAGGATTCTCTATGAAATATCTGGCTTTACAGAGAAGACCATTGTATTTTTTTTTCTCTAGTTTATTTTTAAAGACTTGGAAAGCAATGCAAGGATCTGGGTAGTATGGGAGATGCCACTGATTTATAACTCCCAGCAGCTCCGGGTAGCCTGGCCAAAAATGTAGAAACTGTAATTCAATAACTTCCAGAGGAATACATGCTCTTTTTCTAATATTTGAGGAAGTGCCTAACATTAAAGAAAATGTTTATAGTTGCTTAAACTACAGATTACATCAAACCAGTATGTTTTTATTGAAGCTCAAGTATTAGGTACAGGGAGGTCTCAATTAGTGTGGTTAATGAATCCCACAAATTGTTGCATTATTCAAATTTGCAGTGATATTTCTATGGAAAACAGAGTAATTGGTTCCTATTCGACAGAAATAGGCAATTAAAATTTTTAAACATAAATTGTATGTCCTTATTAATGAAATACTGTGTAACAATAAAAGAGGATAAACCCATATTCTAAGTTATCCTGCTGTAATTCTTCAAAATAAGCCTCTTCATTTTTAAGTTTTCTTTGAAGAGAACCTTTCTTTTCTACATTTCATACACAGGATGATTAGCACCTAAAACCCCAGCTGTGCATATGATAGCTTGGGGCTATGGATTTTGGCTTGCTTTAAATGCAACCTGGTATCAATTTATAATTTGCACTAAATCAAATAAGCTGCATTATTCAAACTCACACTAATCACAATGTATGTTTATTCTATATACCCTGAAGTACCCCTTTCCCACTGCCCTTAAGAAGAAAGCAAACCTGTCCCTACCTGATTTTATCTATCTAAGTATGAAATAGGATTATTTATCATCTAGAAGTCTATGCTTACAGAATTCTTTATGTAATTTGGGATATTAAGTTATTTTGGAAGCTTGAGTATATACAAGCAATGTCAGCAAATGTCTGCAATCAATAAAATTTCCTCCCTATTGATCTTCCATAAGATTTGCTCAGACTTTACTAAAACATCTCTTTCCCCTATCCTCAATATATAATTTAATGATCAGTTCTTCTCAAGTCATACAAACCATAAAGAACTGAATAAATAAAATAAGCAAATCTGCACACATTTTCCTGGGGAGCACAACTTTGTAAACACAATCTAGGTTAGGAATACAATGAGAAACTTCCTTGTAAATTTCATTGATAGATGTCATACTGTTGTACCTTCATCTCTTCATCCAAACTATCACCATCAACTTCCTCCTCGTCTTCCTCGTCTTCCTCATAGTCCTCTTCAGGGGGTAACTGGTCCATCTGGGCATCAGACGGAGTATCAGACTCCTCTTCCACTGGAGTATTTTGTGGAGGCTGTACCTCAGCCGAGTTCTGTAAAGGGAAAACTGAGTTCAGCCTAAACTACTCTTGTTCATGCACTTGATTACCAACTCAATTTGGCTCTTCAACAACTTGAGAAGCAAGGAAAAATGAGTACTGTAGATGTTATTTAGGAATCCTAAATAAGAAGAGTCTATCCTTCCTCTAAGGCTTCATAGAATAGAAAGGGCATTGTCTACAGTCTTCAGTATCAGTTCCCCAAGCTATCTTGGCCACATCAAAGGCTCTTCTCCACAACTTGACTGCAAAGGGGGCATGTGCAACTGATAGTGAAAGAAACCTGATAGAGCTTTGGATATGGGTCACAAGAAGTTAAACTGGCATTCACTTCATTCAACAATTGGTGGATTCTTCATTTAGCAATGCATTTATTAAATGTGGAAAGTAAACTTCATCTGAGGTTTTATTTGCGTTGCTATTTGTCTGCTCCTAACTGTATCACTTTTCTTTGTAATTAACATTTTCAGTCTTTTTCATCAATTTTAATTGCTGTTAATTACCGAGTGCTGCATGAACACTAGGAAGACAGGATATAAATATATTTATGTATTAAGTTTCATGCTGTGTGGAACAGGCCCACTTCCTAAGGAGAAAGCTTAATATTAATGCCTGCCAAGATTTAAAAGTACAATCAATCAATAAAAGATGCCATCCTCTGAGAATGGGTCTGCCCACCCAGCATGAATCCTGTTATGAAGGAGCAGCTGTTCTAAATATATATTCCAAACCATTCTTCCAGAAGTACTTCTTCTCAAGGGTTTTAGATACTGACCTCTGTTTTGAACTTCTCCTTGATTGCTGGCCACACAGTGTCCTGGAAATGGCCTCTGTCCACCTGCAAGGAGTTACCCAGCAAGGTCTGGAAGAATAAGAGCAGAAATAAGCCATTATATCGTACTAATGAAAGTACTAATTCAACTTAGCAAATGCACTTCCTGCTTCTCAGAATGTTTGCAAACAAGATAGCATTTCTCTTAAATACGACAATTACAGTAAGGAATATGACTACAGAAATCCTAACAGTCTCTCTCCTTCTTTCCTTCCTTCCTTCCTTCCTTTTCTTCCTTCCTTTCTTCCTTCTTTCCGATTACAAATAGCTTCGGGGGTTAAACTTTGAATATTAATATTTAAAATTCTGCGCAACTCTTTAAGATTACAATTGTGTTTAATATGTCTTTTTCTTTCCCTAGTCTCCAAAAAGAGAGAAACTGAAATAAAAAATTGCCTTTCAATAAGTGATTCAACACATATAGTTATAACTTCAGAATTTGCTCACATAAATGATTTGTGTCTAGTGCAAAACTATTTCCCAGTTTTTTAGCTGTTAGCAGCTTTAATTCCTACCAACTGATGGAAGAGCATGATGAATTAACTTTAAAAATAGTGCAGGGAGGAAGAAATAAAGTCTTATTCCTGGACAATTCTTATTTGTTTGTTTAATCAATTTATATAGCTGCCTAACTCACACACAGTGACTCTGGGCAGTATACAGCCTTAATTATAGTTAACAATAGGGAAATGCTTCTGCCCTAGACCTTATACTGATATTATGGGTCAATAGTATTTTGGGTGGAAGAATTAAAAGTAAAATTAACTCTCAGCCTCCATATACATTTCCATTGTCACATGATTAAAAGATACTTTGGGGAAAAGTCTGTGTAGGCATCACTGGAGAAGAATTATATCATGTACCAGTGAGTTTATATTATAGAATCAACATTTTTTACAGCCCCAGGAAGTAATATTGCAAAACACAAAACAAAATGTAAGTGTAATTTTGGCATGGGAAATTACATGACCACAGGGATGTTAGTCTTGGCTCTCAGATAAATGGCTTGTTTCTGCTCTTGATCTTGGAATATGGACAGACTGGTCATCGATGCAATAAACACTGAAGATCCAGTACCTCTTGCCAGGCAACCAGGCACCCATAAAGAGAACTACTAAAAACAAATAGGACAAGGCACAATGGCAATTGCCGAAAGAGGAACTGGCTAAAGAAAATGACTTCACAAAAACATCTGCTAAGCCAAGAGCATCTGACCTGATCTGCACCCACAACTTTAGCTTCCCTCCAAATTTAAAATAACATCCACTCTGATCTTACATGAAAGAGTGACAGAAGAATCACAAGGAATAGAACATTCTTGAAAGAAGATGAAAAATCCTTCTTGAGTCCAAAGAGCCTTCCTTGATAGTTAAGTATTTCCTTTCTTACCTGGGCTTCCGTTTCTGATAAGATCCCGTCCCCGTCAACATCTAGTTCAAGGTGTTTCTGAAGCTCTGCAACAGTTATTCTGAAGAAAGATGAGGCAAATACGGCAGTTAGAGTGACAGCCAGCTAGCCAAAAATTTGAAACAGGAACTGCCATAATGAAACTAGGTTTTTGGTTTTTATTTTAATCAAAAATAGATATTTTCAGCAATTGGTCTTGAAGATTTACAGCAGGGTTGCCAACTCCCAGCCCGTGGCCCACTATTGGCCTGTTCAGAACTGGGCTGCACGAGGTGGGCAATCGCACACGCAGCTCCAGTTGTGCAAATGGAGCTGTACACATTTGTGTGGGTGCCTGCCACTTACATGGAACCATCCCCTCCCCACCCCCGTCCACCAAACTGGAAAGGATGGGGACCGCTGATTTACAGCATAAGGCATTTCTGGCAACAGAGTATATCTTGCCTTAAATAGAGAGGATGAGAGCAACTGAGACTGGATTAGATGATCTAAAGACTCTTCTATCTTGGAAGTAGAAGGATTAGGAAGTGCTCAGTATTATTTAAAATTAGAATTATTGCAAGGATTAGTTCATATTTCTGATTTATTTAAAAAGAAAGCATTCCTTGTGATAGTGAAAATGGATGGTCCCCAAAGGAATGAGAGAATTGGACAGTAGGGGAAGGGAGGAGTAGAATAACTGTTCTTTTTACCCCGTTCTACCAGATACCCCAAAATTCCATCATTGAAAACAGTTATATTAGACTCACATTCCATCTGTGTTATCATCCAATTTATGAAAAGCATCTTCTGCTCTGGCTTGATCCTGTGCTGCTTTTTCAGCTGCTTTCTTTTCTATTGCAAAGCAGATAGAAACATATCTAAAGAAAATATATCTAAGAGGTAAATCACAAAGCAGCTCACTCTGCCGCTGTAGATGACAGTCACAGCTGCTGGTGAAACATCAAGACAACAGAAAACTACATCATGCCCAAAAGCTCATTAGTGTTTGAATTTACAGAAGAGTTTACCTTTCTAAAACACCACCATTAAGGCTATTGAAATATCAGCATCTGCCTGAATTCATAATCCTTCTCTACAACTGGCCACTTAGTAACAGTTCAAAGCGTACTACAATTTATGACCAGATTTGAAATTCTGGCATCCACTTCCATCCCAGGATCACATGATATTTTGGCTACTTGGCAATCAGTCTGCATTTGTAGCATCCCAGTTTACCATGTTTTTGCCTGGTTTCTGGCCAAAAAAAAAAAAAAAAAAAAACCATGGAAAACAACAGGTTCACTTTACAATCACTACATTCACTTAATGAGTGGCACAAAAAAGGTTGTAAAATCATGTATAGTCATCTGATGATCTGGTTTAAGACTGTTGTGACTTATGACCGAAATTGCAGGTTCAATTACAGTTATAAGTCGAGAACTATTTGTATTTCCATAAACAGCTGGAGACATATGCTTCAATTCTGCTATTATTGTGAACTTTAAGAGGTATCTAAGATCACCTGTGCACTATGCAAAATTGCAAGAGTCAGAGGTATGCCCAGCATTTGTTTTTCACTTACGCCTGTGCTTAAGTCATGATATAGTAATACAAAGACATTTAAGGATTATAAACTCCTCTCCCAGAGCCCTGTCAAACCAAAGAAGAAAATAGTGTAACAACTGACATAGCAAGTACACACCTAAGTATAAAAAAGCAATTAAAATGTAACTGATGGTTAATACTGAGTGTAAATTATTTCCGTCTATCCATATTCAAGCAAATTGTTGCTCTTAATTATTTGTCTGATTTTGCCATGCAAAACCTGAAAACCTTGTGTATTCAATATTTCTAAAATATTTTAAAAACTGAACTGTTACAACACTTAAGGAAAATTTTCTGCAGAGCTCTAAACACTGCTGCAGTTCTTAAACATTGGTTAAACTACTCGTATTTTTTTAAGTAGCTTAACGGTTCCCTAAAAAATTCTATGAAATTCTGCTTTCCCTCAACTCCAGCTAACAATTTTCTTGTTAAGAATTCTGTGTTATTTCCTTAAGCTGGCATTTTGCTGGTTTGTAGTCAAAATTAAAAATGTAAAAGCAGCCATTTTGGTACACACCAAGATGAGTTCAGTCCAGCACTCTATTTCTAGTATGGCCAAAAATAAGGTATACATGATATTGTATCACATCATAAAGATGACAATTATCCTGTACTGTCAATATCATTATACAAGTGATATTTAGAAACAGTTTGTTTAAAAGGTTTGTTTAAAAATGCTTGGTTGTTTTGTTGGGGAGGAAAAGGCAAAAAAAAAAAAAAATCAGTTATAGCAGTGGTTCTCAACCTGTGGGTCGGGACCCCATTTGGGGTCGAACAACCATTTCACGGGGGTCGCCAAACAACGAAGTCCGCCATTTTTTTCCCCTTTTCCTTAGCTGTGCTACTCCCTTTTATTCTATTGGCTTTTGAAAGCCAATAGAATAGACTCTCTTGAATAGAGCCTAATTCTATTGGCTTTGAAAAGCCAATAGGAATTGTCCAGGCTGTCTCTGCCCTGCTGAGCCCGCCAAAAGTCCCATTCTGCAAACGGTGCTGCACCAGTTGAGTAGTCTTCGACTTACGACCGGTTGGGGGTTGCGGCATTAAAAAGGTTGAGAACCACTGAGTTACAGGGATGTAACAAAACCAAGTGTTCTAGAAACTGAACATTTTAGATGACTCTTAAACATTTAATTTCTCCTCTGGACCATGCCAATGCATCAGAACATTCAGCTTTGCACATCCCTAATAAGCAATGTAGCTTTCTGAATCAGTTTCATACATCTACCATTGTTTCCCCAAATCTCACCAATTTTCTCAGGCATCCTATCATTTCAGATGAGAAAAAATGTAATTGTTTTCATTCCTAAGCTATTCCTAACTTGCCCTCAACTATGGTCTTCACATAGATCAAAATCTCTTTTCTCCTTCATTTTTAACAGGAAAGATGCTAAGATTAAGTGTTATTAAAGCCTTCAGTAGAGTAACCCAGACTGACCATCCCAGGCTTTCTGGTGGATATCTTTGGCCTCTTTTTCAGGTTTCTCAGCAGCTTCCTTTGTTAACCGTAGGGCCTCCACTTGTTCCTCCACAGTCTTTTTACCCTCCTGTAATTCTGTTAGTTTTTTCTACAAAGAAAGGAAAGAAAAGGACTATCTGAATTTTGACCAAATCCAAATAGCTTCCTGCTTGAATCCCCAATTATCCGTCTTGCAAGATATGGCAGATTTGTATAGCAATACAAATATGGCTGTCTGTACTGTATGCATGTATGTGAGTTGGGTTGAGAGAGAGCGACTGGCTGGGCCAGTTATTTTCTCACTCCAATTCTCCTCACAGGGGAAAATAGAAGGAAGACACATTATAAATATTCACCACTTTGAATTGTATGTATTAAAAAAAGTCAGAATAAAAGTTTAAAAAAGGAGGTAAAGAGAAATGGACAGAGGTAGACAACTTCTGAGCAACTATTTTGTGTTGACATATATGACATTACATGTTAATAATAAACATGTTTTCTACAATATCCAGTTTAAAATGTATATGGACAATCAGCACTTATGACAAGAACAGAAGAACTCCAGAGCCTACTCAAGATACTCAAAAATAGGGTGCACTCCCAAATTTTTCTTATACAATCACAAAGTTTTTACTTTTCTTAGAGGAATATCAAAAACCAGTCTAAGAGGAGCCATAACCTGGCTCTTCTCAGTGTGTCAAAAGTGCTTTGGCAAAAATTAAAACATCCAATACAGCCCAGCTAGCAATAAGCATTTTCTCCGCAGGCTGCCTCTCACCTGTTTTTCTTCCTTTCTCTTACTTGCTTCTTCCATCAGGGCCTTCTTGATTTCAAAGCCTTCTCTGGCCACCTCAGCCATCTGCTTCAGTGCCTCCCGCTCCTTTCGGCCCATTTCTCTGCAAAGGGACAAGGGAATAGAATGTCAAGGTTTAGGACAAGGCATTGTTCAGTCGTGGTATCTACCAATGGGTAGAAAGGAATTCTATCCTAGAAAAAATCTGCACAAGGGAAAAATATTTCGGCATAAGTGAAGAGAATGGTATGGATGCAGCACACTGTCTAATAACTTGAAAGCTATTGTTGCTATCAAACCTGACTCCATAGTTGCTTGCATCTGATTTTGCTCGCTTTGTCAGTGATGGGAGGAGGGTGGTGAATTCCTAATGGGGGGGGGGGAGGCTATGGAATGCAAGTGAACCTTCTGGTGCCGGAGAAATGTTATCTACCAAGGCCAAGTCCTGAAGAATGTTTGACCAGAGAAGACGTTTTTTTCCAAAGCAAAAGAAATGAACTCAATTGGTGAACTATGAACTGTAAGTGGCCCGAAGGGGAAGAGGGGAGTTACCTATGTGGCTTTTGCAGGAAAATCCCAGAACTGACTTTGCTTCTGGTGTGCCTAGATGGATTTTTCAATAAAGCTACACTCTTGGTCAACCTAAAGAGCCAGGAGGGTTTTTTTTTAATTGAAAGTGCCAAATGGGATGGTTGACAGTTGCTTTTCAAATTCATAAGCATGGAACATAATTCTGAACATTATCTAGTAGTAAATAAGCTAAAAAGAGCAGCCATAAAGTTGGTATGCTGCAATGCACCATATTCTGTCACTAAATTCCCCCCCCCCAAAAAAATTGATCAACAGAAATCCTTAAAAAGTAAGCACTGTGGCTGGTTTTAGTCCAGTTTTACTTGAAAATGTGCCCATCTGCAAAATATGAAAGAAAATTGGGAATGGTAAATAGTATCCTGAGAGGGGAAAATCAACTTTACAAGTTCACAAGGTCACCTGGTAGTAACCGACATTTCCTTGCTGTAAAGTATGGGGCAGTATATAAATCTAAGTGCTATTGCTATTATTAACCTGTTTAAGAACAATTGTTCTAAATGCACCCCTCTCCCCTAAGTTGTATATTTGACAGCTAGCACTTGAGTCTGCTTCTGAATCAGACCTCTGAACAAAGAAGGAGCTTCTTCTAAAACAAGTAACATCTTACCTGCAGGTGTTTTCACACACTGTGCCACTGTTGTACTCATCGGTTGTATCGCAGCAATCTAAGGGGGCAAGGAGGAGAACTATGAACATCTGTCACTTGAATTCTATTGTTCAAAGCCAAACAATTTATTCACAACACGTAGCAATGCTTACCGCAGATCCCATCATTGATGCGGGAAGAGGGGATGTATATAGGACGGTATCCAGCATTGGAGCAATGGAAGTGGCCATTGGGACATGCAGCAGTTCCTGGGCAGAAAGACAAGACAGTTGTATGTTGAACAAAAGGGGGGAAAGTAGCTGAAGAGAAGAAAGCATAAATTAAACCACACATACAAGCTCTCTACTACACAGAGCTTGCATGTGTGGCTTAATTTATATTAATTTAATTTCTCCTAGCAATCACAATTTACTTGCTATTCATAAAATGTCTAAAAGCTATGACAGGAAAATAAATAAGGAAACAAACTCTTGCATAAATTGAAGATTGTTAAGAACTTCTAGAAATTTAAAAATACTAGTAACAGCAATGGATTTGGTTTCTATTAACTGATATGTACAATATTGTATTTCATTTTACTCATTTAAAATTTTTAATTTAAAAATTGTAATCTTTAATTACATTATTTTTATCTTGGCCAACTGTGTCCTATTTTGCAGTGGGAAGCCACTACATCATAAGTATTACGGTTTTATGTTTGGATATCAAATTTTAAGAAAATCTCCAGAGATTAGTGTTTAACTGCTTAAGCAATCTAATAAAATTAATGTGGATGGGAGCATAGAAGATCAGTTACTGTCCCTTGTTAAGAGAGAGATACATGTTAGTTGATGTGAGATGCAATACTAGCAAAGATCCTTAGAGCAGTAATTACAAGAGCTGGGATGGGGAAGGCAATATATGCAACCAAGGTAAATTTAAATATGCCCCACTTACCTGGCTCATCTGAGCCATCTTTGCAATCACAGTAATCATCATTGACTCTATCAAAAGATATTGTTGCAGAGCCATCAAGACAAGTGAATGGTTTTGATTCATCATAGAAGTGATGGTCTAAAAATAACAGCACACATACTTGGATTCAAACAAGAAAAAATACTGAAAAAAAGATATGCCAATTCAGAAAAGTATTCAAGTTCAGCATTTAATATTCCATGCCTAGTTAAGTCATTCCATATCTTATGTCTACATAACTTATATTCTAAATGACAAAAAAAAGGTGCTGAGCAGGATGCAATTAGTAACCACGCCACTTCTGTAGCTTATTGTTAGCATTCAAAATAAATCAGTGTTGTAGGCAAGAGGAAGTTGCATTTCTAAACCAACTTCAAACACTAAATTGTTTTCTTTTAAGTAACTCATTTGGTTTAAATTTCTCTCCAGATGACCAGCTTTCTCATACCTCCTTTTAAATCCAAGAAAACAAACATCAGATAATTATGGGGGTTTACTTACACAGCATGGATGCTATCTTTTTCATTGATAGTGCAAAATCATAGACACATGTTTCCAACCTCTGATTGCTAGAAATAATTAAACTATCTGAGCGATATATTGTAAGAGGAGATCAAACCTGCCATTTAACCTATTATCTGCTTGAAAACTCACTTGTTAGGGAGACCCCTCGTGGACGCTTCACTTCCACAGAATAAGACAGGCCAGAAAGTGAGAGAAGCCCAAGATACAGAAGCAGCATAATGGAGGCTCAAAAACAACAACTCCTGGAATAAAATGCAAATAAAGGACTTGTTACTTTAGCAACTTCCCTTCTTGGTTGTACTAGTGATTTGATGTTTCACAATTTTTTTGCATTTTAATTTTTGCAATTTTTATAATTGCTTTTTGTTTTAATTCTGTTTGCCACCCAGAGCAAACAGATGGGTGGCCAAATAAATAATAAATAAATAAATAAATCTCTTCTGTTACCATTAATACATAAAGGAGGAAGATGTAGAATATTCCTTTCTCTCGTCCAATTTTATTTAAAAAAAAACTCTCTAATCAGCTTCCCAAGTTTCAGATAGGATCCTCACATGTGATTTATAATTTTTCTCTGCAGTCAAAAAATTCTATGAAACTGATCTTCTGAGTGCCTAAAATGGAAATCCAAAGATTTATTTTCAGTTTCTAACAGAATTGGTAAATATTGTGTTCTTAACCAAGGCTTGTACTTGTTTTGATATCATTTTCTCCCTTTTTTTAACCCTGTAATCCCCTAATTTGGGGTAGGGTCCAGGTGACTGGATGCAGCTGAACTTTTACTAGCCAATGCCCTTCCTGTTGCCTATGCAGAGTTTCAGCAGATACTTTTTCTTTGCACCCTAGGAGAGAAACATCTGCCACTACCTAAGAATGAACTCTCAACTTTTCGAGTGAGAGGCAAACATCTTTACTACTAGACCACATATTAAAATTATTCCAATGTGTCTCCCTCCCACTTATGGTAATAAAATATCTCATCTCAAATATTAGTGTCATTAAGGACTATCCAAAACTGAACAAAAATATACATGAACCATTTCAGATAGCTCCTCTGCTCTCCCAAATGGCTTCCACAACTATCAGATTACTCATTGCACTTGCCATAAGGATCCTAACAAAGGCTCCTTATTCTGGACATAATATATCAAGTACTCAGAACATGGGCAGCATCATAACACTAAACATTTTTATAGTTTTTCCTGTGGCAAGCTGATAAAGTTGTTATGCCCAGAATAGAAGTAACTAGATGTCACCACCATGGCAAATATAAGCTCTGGTGCCTGGGGACTGGGTATGAGTTCACATATTCTTCAATTTCCAAGAGCTGACAAAGGAGCTAGGGGAATTTTTTTCCCCTCAAAAGAGGAATTTAAAATAAAATCCTTTAAAATAAATCAAATCAATAAGCACTATAGTCAGGCTCTACAAGCTACCTGCAAATAGTACTGTAATAGCAATAGCACTTAGACTTACATACCAGCTTTATAGCACTCTCTGGGCGGTTTACAATGTCAGCATATTGCCCCCAACAATCTGGGTCTTCATTTTACCAATCTTGGAAAGATGGAAGGCTGAGTCAACTTCGAGCCCCCTCAGATATTAATCAAATGTTGATAATTCCCCTTTCCAACCTTATCTTGCTTAAAAATAGAGGCAGTATTTCTCCTACATGCTGAAACTTACAGCAGTACAAGAAGTTTAGCATTGCATTGCTTTCTGGAATTTCAAATCTCTACAGTTGATATTTCAATGAGAAATCACCAGATACCCTAGCAGCTATAGGCTAAATTAGAATTTGTGCTTTTAATGGTAAACCACTTCCTTAATGTTGCAAAAAAAAAAAAAAAAAACACCTGCATAATAATTCCATGAAACTGGCAAGAGCCAAATTTCTCTCAAGAGACTTTATTGTTTCCAAACTACCACACAAATGCAGCAAACAGTACAAATCAGAAACATGCACCTCCCAGGTTCTGAGTTTAAAATTCTGCTATGATGATCATGACTTAACATAGTCAAGATTCTACTTGCTTCCTATTACCAGTTGCCATTTTGAAGCAGAAATCCTCCATTTGGAGGATTCAGCTAGTAAATTACAATGCACACTCCTGTCAAACTTTATTATCTTCCCACCTTCCTAATTAATAGTGTTACTGCTCAGTGTCTTGAAAACTTAATTCTTAGATGCACTACCCAAAGTCCAAAGAGAGTCATTTTGAAATAGTAACTTGTCTAAAACTATAGCTTGGCATTTTAATTTCAATTTAAACCAGCTTTGGAAAACCAAAATGGAAAAGTGAAATCTCAATCTTTTTTTAAATCAGTTGAGATATGCCTCATATAATTTGAAATATCCTGATAGGCACATAAAGCAAAAAATAAACAACATGAATGCCTTTCATTCAAGTTAGCCATTCTGTTAAAAAGTTGAGTTCACCCAAAGCTTTTCTGCTAAGAACTAAGATTTAAGTGTTCATTGATCTGTTGAAATAATATGGCCCTTTGTATTTAAAGGGCAAAGAATCAACAATTAAGTACTGTTCTATGTTAATCAAATGTACTTTAGATATGTTTTCTAAACTTTAAGATTGAACAATAATACAAAGCCAGAATATTTTTTGCAGAAAAAAAGGCTTTCAACCTAATTTTCACTCAAACGAGGAGAGTACATTAAAGGCAACAATCAGCCCTTCCTAATCTAGAGCCCTCCAGACGTGCTGGACTAGAATTCTGTTCATACCGTCTATGGAAGAGGAAAGCTACAAAACAATCAGAACAGCAGCAGGTGAAGGAAAGCTGGGTAAGCTTGCACCGTGTGAGCGCTACGCTACGCCTTTTAACCCAACAGGCTTTCCTATGTGGCGACTAACTAGTACACCGAGAGACAAATATAGGTGCAACCACAGTGTGGCTCCGTGTTCCCCACTCCCCGGAAAAATCCGCCCCCAAGAGCAACCTCCGACAAGCGCGCTCCTACCCATGAAAGCACCACCCCCACCGCCCTCCTTACCCACCTCCCGCCGAAACTCTCGTGGAAAAAGGCTCCAAGTCCCACCACCTCGAAACCGGAAGTAAGTTATGAAATATCCGCTCCAAAGCGTGCGGATGGGGTGGGGACTTTAAACGGCCTTTCCTCCCAGTCGCTGTTTTGATTTCATCTTTCCTTCGTGACCATCATAAGAGTGGCGGAAGTACTTTACTTTCCATCCATGCTGCCACGAGACACAATTGGCCAAGGATTTAACAGCAGCTTGTCTTTATTTGTTGCTTGTTCCACTTGGAAAATGAAATGTTTCCATTTCTTCTCCTGCGTGACAAATTAATAATACATTTGGAATTATCGCCTGTGTGACAATTAGGAGTACTTCCTGCCTCACTTCCGGCTGGTTTAAGGAGAATTTGAACTTTTTCCCATCGTGCCCTGCAAAACTTGTTCCTTCCACCAATGAGCGCTTTGCATCGGAAGCGGTTGTCATGGAGACCAATGTAAGCGTAGGGATGCTGATAGGCAAGTGAACTGCGGCCTTCTACAAGGGGCGCGGGGAAAGCGTGGAAGGGCGGCAGTGGGCTTTTTTAGAAGGCCAACGGGAGAGAGCCCTAAGACTTCTCAGGCCGAAGCACTATTTGCTGTCAAGTGTGTCTGTATGCGTGTGGTAATTTCATTTTCCTTCTCAGTGCATCCCCTGTTAGCCCTCGGCACCCGAAGAATTACCACCAGTCTCTGCCTACTGTTATCTCAGAAACGCTGAGTTGAACCACGCTACCATTTTATCTCCCGTCCGCTAAATCTTTTCTGACTCTCCATCCTCTCATTACCATCATTGCTGTCATGCCAGTAACACATCTGGAAGGAATTAAACCCCCTATTCATGAGCAGATATCGGAGCTGCAAAGCAAGATTCAGCTTCTAGGTAAGGGGTGCTGAAAATATAGAGGGTGAGAGGAAAAGGACGGGAAAAGTACAGCACCTAAATATAAATTACAAAACTATGGGCATTTAGAAACAAGCCTCATTATGCCTATTATGGCTTTTTACTCTTGTAAATTTCCATGGTGCAGTAAGAGTAATTAGACCAAATAGACTACACACTCAAAAAAAACTTTAAAAATATACAGAACAAAGACAAAAATGGAAAACAAAAACAAAAAGACATCCAAAAAAACATACATTAATGCCTTCCATTCTTCTATCAACTATTATCCTAAATTTTTTCCCCAACTTCTTTGCTTTTTTAATCCCTTAGAGAATTTTTAATTATTACACCTTGGTTGCCTACACATATTGTGTGCTGATCATAGTTTCAGGATACTTAGCAAAAGATTTACTTCATGCACTGTTGTTGGCATTAAAATTAGATCTCAATTATCTTTCTCTTAACTGGGTAGAAGAAAAAAACTCCTTCCCCAAGCCCAGGATAATTACAACTACCCTGTGATCTAAGTCTAAAAAACTGAATTTCTTGTGAAGAGTGCAATGTCTATGTAAACTTGTATGAGTTACAATGTATGTTAATGCCAGAATGTGATATCCCTAGCATATAATGTTCTGTACCATACAGTCCATTGTTAGATGTAGTAATAATGTGTAGCTTTATGCTATGTGTTTATGTGAATGAATATGTGTGAAAGAATAGATGGGATCCATTCAAAGAAGGCCAAAAAGTCAGAAAAGTCTGAGATTTCAGCTTAACATGTGGAGAATGACAACTTATGGGAAGTAGGGTTTTCACAAGAAAACCATAACATAGTTTGCATGTAAACTGGATCAGACAATGGCATTCTAGTGGAAAAGTATCAGAAGATATGAGAAAAGTATCAAGTATGGATTTTCCAGGCTTGATAGAATCATCAAGCTTTATTAGAAAATATAAAAAATGTATGGGAACAGTAGTACTTGCCTGGGAGCCACTACACCAGTGGTTCTCAACCTTTTTAATGCCGCGACCCCCAACCGGTCATAAGTCGAGGACTACTCAACCGGTCATAAGTCGAGGACTACTCAACTGGTGCAGCACCGTTTGCAGAATGGGACTTTTGGCGGGCTCAGCAGGGCAGAGACAGCCTGGACAATTCCTATTGGCTTTTGAAAGCCAATAGAATTAGACTCTATTCAAGAGAGTCTATTCTATTGGCTTTCAAAAGCCAATAGAATAAAAGGGAGTAGCACAGCTAAGGAAAAGGGGGAAAAAATGGCGGACTGCGTTGTTTGGCGACCCCTGTGAAATGGTCGTTCAACCCCAAATGGGGTCCCGACCCACAGGTTGAGAACCACTGCACTACACAGAACAAGTGGTCTGCTTAGATATCCTGCCTCAGTTCATTTTGCAACTTACATCTAGCCTGGCTTTTTCTATGAAGTACTGTTCAAATGAGAGTTTCAAAGAGGTTTTGAATTCTGTTTCATTAGTCAAACAAGTTCTCTGTTTATGAGTGTAAAAGAGAGGTTGATAGACCTCTCTACATACAGACTTCATAATGAAACAGCTGAAACAACTGAAAAAAGTTAAGGTGAAAATAGGCATTTGTTACAACTAAAAGTAACTATTGAAATACGCCAGATTTTATGCCATTTAAGATCCTTTAGGAATTTCAATAACTGGAGTGAAACATGCTGTCAAACATTTATCATACTAGAAGTTATAATCAGTACCAAGGGAACTAAAGAATATTATTGAAATATTTCATTAAATATTTTTTTAAAAAACAAATTATAATTAGTGTTCCTTCTAAAGAAAAGCAGAAAGATTACTGTTCTATGTCTTTGAAAAATTTGAGAAACAAAAAATGACACAACGATCAGAAAACAAGAAGAAGCAACTTAAATAGCTGTTTCTACATTTACAATTCTTATCCTGGCTGGGATCAAAATAGTTTAAGTAGTCTTACAGGCAGCTTCATGACTTAACAGTAGTTGAGAAGAGTTATATATATAAGATAGAAAAATCCTGAAATAGCCACAATGGAGAAATATATTTTGAAGATGTCAGGACTAGCAGAGATGATAAAAGTCACTTGTTTGGTCAGGGACAACACAATAAATACTTTTACAAAGGACGGGAAATCTTTTATTGACTTTTGCTGAAAATGGAAAAAAAATTAAATGGTGATTTCTGGATGATGATTGAAAAAAGACTAAATAAAAGAATGAAAGGATTATGATCATTAAGGAGAGAAGAGGGATAAGTTGGTAGCTGCTATAAAGAAGGGCACAAGTAGTTCCATTCATACTTAGGATGAATAGGCTGTTTGCAAGGCTTAGAGTTCTTTGCTCAGTCCTTCAAATTAAACACATGCAACTGAATTTAACAAAGATTTGATGCTAATATGGTATTGTATAAACAATCCCCATAAAGATGAGAAAGAAATTGTAAGATCATATCACAATCATACTTTTATTGTTGTCAAATCCAATTAGACATAGGAAAGTATGGAAATGCTAGCTTTATCAGTATTGTCTGTATTCATATAAATATTCCAATAATATCAATCAAACTAAAGTTAGCAACGTATATTCAATTTAATTTATTTTTGATGGAATATAGAATTAAAGAACATGTTTGGGAGAGATTTCTGCCATAGGCAATGGATGATTGCCTTATAATACCATACCATGCAAAGTTTCTATTTTTTTTATAGAAACATTATGTAAAAGCTCTCTTGTTTCTAGGCTTATAGAGATGAACATTGTTTCAAAATCTCATTTTCTACAGATAAAAAAAATATAAATTCATATAGAATTTCTATCATCACAATTGTGCTTCTGATTTACAGCATTAATTCCTTCATTTTATTGGCACATTAAACAAATTCATTCAAAATTAACAATCTGTCAATTTGGAACTATTTGGCTTTGTTGGCTTTTTTCAATGAGCCAATAAGTACTTGATCAGCAGAGTGGTTTCAATTCTGCTCATTACAGAAGGTGACCGTAAAGCTTTCTATGAGAACTCGCAATGGAACATCAAGAAGAACAAGGAGTCCATTTTGCGGCTGAGGCAGGAGAATAAGAAATTGCATCAGAGGTTGGCAGACCTCCTCGCGGTGAGCTTTATGGCCTTCTACTCTCTTTCAGTGAGCCCTTGTCAAATCAAGATCACCACTTCTTCTCCCTGTCTTTGGTATTGCTCCTCTTTTCTTGTGGGTTCATGCAGTATGACATTGGAAAATAAAAGTATAGTGACTCTAATCTCATCTTTTCATGGTAGAATATATTTAAGCTTTCTGCTTATTCCATTCAGGCTGCTCTCTTCAATAGCAATAGCATTTAGACTTATATACTGCTTCACAGTGCTTTACAGCCCTCTCTAAGCGGTTTACAGAATCAGCATATTGCCCCCAACAATCTGGTCCTCAACAAATGGGATTTCTAACAGCCTGCTATGCTTACTACCTCCTCTCTTCAGGGCAAATTGTTTTTCAGTTTTGCGAGATTGAAACATGTCACTGGTGAGTTCATTTGTCAAGCACCGTAACTTCTGATTTCATTGACTATAAATGTGCAGATGCCAGATCAGAGTAGCAAAAATCCTGACAAGCACTAAATGACAAAGAGAATCGGAACACAAAAACTATTTCTTGGTATCTGAAGCTTGTCTGTATTTTTCTGCTCAGATCTGGTAGGTTAATGCAAATAGCTGTTCCTGTCACTTTTGGAATATTGTAGCAGCTCTTTGTGTGTGTAAGGACCCACTTCAGTCTCACATCTTAAGAAAGCAGAACTCTTGGAAACAATATCTTCCAACAGGAACTTTTATTAAGAGTAGTTGATAGCAGGCATAATAGACAGGATCTGAGGGATTCTTTACAGATTGATACTTTAAAGGGTCCCTAAGTAAACCTCACCCCACAGTTCATCTAGACAGTTTAGACCGGCCAATCCCCAGGTTTTAAGTCCATTGTGGGAAAGAGAAAATAACATCGGTCTGGCTCCGTTTGTAGTACGATATTCCACAGCTCTTCACACCTCCTTTTGAGACCGGAGAAATAAGCCAGGTTCCGGATGTTTGTATTTCTTTCCTCCCCTTTTCCTAACTGCCAGGTTAGGGAGAAGAAAGTTCAGAGAGATGCATAGTGCAGGAGGCAATTTGTTAGATTGTAATGGGCACCAGACCCAGCGGCATAAACAAAAGGTTACATTGTAGTGAATAGAGGAAGTGAAAGTCATAACCCAGC